GTCAAGTGCTTTACAAGTATTATCTCATTTGGTTTAGAACAAACCTTTGAGGTAGATGCTATTATTATCCTCATTTTATAGTTGAGAAACTGAAATAGGTTAAGTGACTTGTAAGGGTCACATAGCTAATATGTGTCTGAGGCTGGGTTTGAACTCAGGTCTTCCTAACTCCAGATCTAGAGCCCTATTTACTATGCCACCTAACTGCATCCAGGAGCCTTGTTCCTTGAAGCTACCTTCTCCCACAAGTGATTGCCTTTCTTGAATCTCTTGACATCTGGAGCTTGTCTCTCTGTTCCTTTAATTGTGCTTTCAAATCTCTTGTTGATGTTTAGCTGATGTCCTGTCCAACTCTTCATAACCTTATGGGGGGTTTTTTTGGCAAAGATATTGGAGTGGTTTGCCATTTCCTTCTCCAGTTCATTTTACAGATAAGGAAACTGAGGGAAATAGGGTTAAGTGACTTGCCCAGAGTCACACAGCTGATAAGTGTCTGAGGCTGTATTTGAACTCAGGTTCTCCTGACTCCAGGGTCTCTATTCACTGAACCACCTAGCTGCCCATGAAATCTCTAGAACCAATTAATTTCCATTCTGCTGGATAGGATATCTTCCTCTGAGAAAGTCACTGCTAGATACCATGGCCTATGAAAGGAAAAGGGTGCAAGAAATCCTCTCTTTTCCCCACTGCAGGTTTTTCCTCCACAAAATATCGCAGGCCTGCCATTCTTTGAACTCAACCTCTGTCCCCTAGGGTTTAGCTATTTAAAACTCTGCAAAGTGACTGTCTAATTATTGCTTCTCCAATGAGGTTACTCCCTTTAATTATGGAAGACAAAGGTGTTCATTCACACATCATAAAGGGATCCAGGTCTAGAGGTATCTTTACAGTTAATTGCCTTGTGCTTATGTTCTGGGCCTTATGCATGGGGGGATGGGGCATTCTTCAAAGATTAACTCTCCTACAAAGGCTCTTTATAAAACCTTAAAGCTCTGTATAAATGATAGCTATCACTATCATTATTATTATTATTATTATTTTTTTAAGGCTCTATAAAGCACAGCTGAGGCCTTCCTCTAAATTTTTAATATTGTGGAATACCAGTATAATAAGCAAAGGCTATCCATCTGTTATCTCTCATTTTTACCATATGATCCCACTCCTTTCCCATCCAGAGGGTTCCTTAATGATGTCATTTACACCACTTATTATGTGGAAGTTAATGTTGGTAACGGAAGTTATAGCTGACTTACCACGAGGTATCTCTATGGCCCTTAGAGTCAGCTGCCATTTTGATTCTTGGGAGATGATTGTCTTCAGTGACTCACTGCCATATAGTATCACTGGGAGAGAGTGTTGGTTTAGAAAAGGAAAACTTTTGTGTCAATAAGTAACTTAGGTTACGATCCTTGAAACCACTCCTCATGTTCCCAAAAGGTTTCCTCCCTGTTGTCCTCCTCCTCTTCAATTCTGGGCCCCATTTATTGGTGTTGGCCTGGAAGTCAGCATGACTAAAACTTGAATCTTGCCTCGGACATTTACTAGCCATGCAACCCTAGGCAAATAATTTAACTTCTCTGTCTCGGTTTTTTTTATCTCTAAAATGGGGGTAATAATGGCACATACCTCAGAGGCTATTTGTGGGGATCAAATGTTATATGTAAAGTACTTTGAAAACCTTGAAGCGTTACATATTCTATTTTCCTCATTCTCTCTCTTTTTATTCTCTCTCTCTCACTCTATCTCTGTCTCTGTGTGTCAGTCTCTCGGTCTCTCTCTGTCTCTTTTTCTCTCTATTTCTGTCGCTCTGTCTCTCTCTGTCTCTCTGTCTATCCATCTGTCTCTGTAAGGGGGAAGACTGTCTCACCTACTATGCCAAATGTAAGGGAACAGATCTGTTCTTCCCTGATTATGCCAATTGTTGGATGGCATAACCTCTGAGAGAATATTAAGATACCAAAGAAAGAGGGATTCATACTAACTTAGTTATTAATAGATTTTATTTGGGTTAATTAGGTTAATTGTGGGGAGTATACTCACAAGAGGCCAGTTGTTCTGGGTGGCAGCAGGACAAAGTAACATCATGGATCCCTGCATTAACAGGTTGAGTATCATATAGAAACAGAACAAAGGAAGCATAATGCCAGGGATGGCCCAGGGTCACATGCAAGTGTTCCCATGGGATAGTTGGAGCTTCTTTTGCTGTTTACATTTATTCAAGGTAGCTTACATTCTCTATGAGAGTTGTAGGTCATACTCCCATTCTGGTCTACCCTATACATTCCACCCATCGTGACCCCACTCATACTCTCTCATCTCTTCTGCAAAATTCCACAAGCAATGCATGAGTGGTTTTGTTAACATGAGTTATAGTCCACAATAACAATACAAGCACAAGTGGGGAAACAACATGACCAACAAGAAAATTACCACAATTGTTATAATTTTCTTCCATCCCACCCCTAGGGAAGTGAAGGAAGAATCAAAGGCATTTGATTAGTGAGAGAACCAAATTTCTGAACTTAACTCAGTACAGGTCAACTGAATTTCTAAACTAAGTTCAGAGCCAAAAAGCCTGGCTTGGGCAATTTCACAATATATTGGGGATGATACAGAACAGAATAAATTACAAAATAGGAGCAGAATAATTTTATTTTCTCAATTTCCCCTTTTTTGTCAATGGGAGACCTGTCACGATTTTCCCTGACTGGCCAATGTAAGAGCAATAATATTGACCAATCACAGTACAAGCCATAGCAAGAGTGGCTAGAACCATGTACTAATTTTAGAGAAGTTCACAAGATACCAGGATAACTGACAGAATTCAGTGCATAGCTACAGTGAAGCAAAAAGTCAAAGTAATGCAGTAATGACCATCCATGTACTCCCAATGTCCATTTAATCTCTAAATTGCATCTTGGATCTCAGATGTCCCATGTAGTGGTCTGGTCTCTGTAAACCTCTTTTCGTGGACTTTCGGGGATAGGTCTCCTCTTTTTTTTTTTTTCAGCCAAAGACGAGGTTTATTAGAACATCCTCCATATTGGCCAGACTCTTTTAAGGAATGTAAGCATTTGTATCACTAATGCAAGTGGGCCAGATCTTAAGAATCTGAGCCTAGGTCTCCTCTTTAGTAGATTTGCTTCTCTGGTGCCAAGTTGCTTGTAGAGATTCCTCAAATGTCCCTGCTAAAATCTTTTACAAAATACATCTCAATACAAGTTGGCCCAGCCTCTCAAATTTTACTTCTCCAATAGCTAGTTCATATGGTGAAAACCATCTCAAACCTTATAGTTCTGACCTTTTCAACAATAGAGCTATATCAAATTGGGAACTCATAGTTCACTTAAAACTTCGGAGTATTTAAGTCTCTGCATGTCCTATTAGGATCATTTGTATTTGACATACAGGATTGCATGGTCTAGTTGCTTTCCCAAAATTTTCCACGCCAATTAATTTTAATTCCTTTAAGAGGATCAAATGTTATCGAGGAGATCTAATCCTGTATAAGAAAACAGAGGCAACACCACTTTTTGCAGATAGAGGCTTTCCACTCCTAGGTTCAGTGGTTTTACAAATGGATTTTCTTACAAGAGGCTGACTTTACTCCAATTGACAAAAGACTTGGGATGGAATGTGAAGATATACTTAAGTAATTCATTCCCGATTGTATACAAAAAACAGCATATATCAATGGAGTTGATTGTAGTAAAACATCTTCAGTTGTTAACCATATTCAGATGGGATAGATATTATACAAACATTACTCTCACTAAGATGATTGATGCTACTGAAATTCTATTCCTTAAAATAAAACAGAAGTGGTTTCTGCCTTTAACTGACAAATTAATAGATTTATATTTTTGTTTCACAAGCTTTTGGGTTTTTTTTTACCTTTTTCTAATTATTACCATAGCATTCTGAAAGAATGAGCTATTTCAGGGTCTTAATCTTAAACATGACTATGTAAGTATTAGCAGACAGATGAGAAGCCGAAGTACTCATCCACTTAGATTTTGGGGATATGGAATGTCTATATATTCAGATCAAAATATTAAGATTCAAAACATTAAGATCTTACACACTTGCATTGTGCTCAAATCTTCTACTGACCCCTGTTCTGATTATAGAAATTTGCTATAATAGGAAAAAGCTAGGATATGATTATTACAGCGTCAAAACTGGTCCTTCAGGCCTAGGCCTAAGGGCACAGAATGATAACACAAGTATACTAGGATAAAGCATCCTTAGCTCTGTTTGATTTCATGGAAGAGTCACAGTTGACAACCGTGTAGTAACAATTCCACTCAGGAATAACCAAGTGGTAAACATTCCTGTTCAAAAAGAAGCAACATAATGGAGAAACTGAGTCAGGAGGCTCCTATCTTTGGCTATGTCAAGATTGTCTTCTCAGCTTTTTCCCAGATATTGACCTGCACCTGGTAAAAGTTCATTCCCTCTGAGTAGCTTGTGGCATTTCTCTCAAGTGGTGGGTTACCAACTTAATGATCCATCAGACAACTATACCTGAATTCAAAACTCAAAACAATATTAGTTACAGTCCCAAAGCTTTTACCTCAAGTGGCAAGTTCCACTAATCACAGCTTAGGGCTCATTATGGTTATTTTTACTCTCATGGAGCTGCAAGAAGCAATAAAAGTTTACCAAGATTCACACATACACGTAAGAGGTTTTTCTTACCATCTTTCATTTGTTTTTCTTTTCTTCTTCTTGAGTTTAGACTCATCCTGGTATAAGTACCAATCATTAGAAATCACTTCAATTTTATAAACAAAACTTGAAAATTCTCCATAGACCAATTTCATTGTTTAGAAACTCCAGAACCCATAATAAGCTCTCTCTCTAGGCCTGATGACTTTGCCCGAACTGATGTTTTCAGTGCCTTTCCTGGCAAGGGGATTCTACATGGTCTTTTCTTTGTGCCTTTCCCTACATAGTAGTTACCAATATATATTTTTTATAATTTTTCCAGTCCTTACCAAGTTGACAGGATTTTTTCCCCGAGCTATTGCAGCTCATTTATCTTGGAGTTCTCGGGAAGGCTTGGGCTTGCCCCTCCTGTTCCCATAAATAAATTTCTTTTGCTGTAGGGAGGAAGCAAGACAGTTCTTAAAATTCAAATTGAACATAATCTATTACAAAAATGGGTAAGAGTCTCATATAATTTATAGCCAAAATTTCCAATCTCAAGACACACTCACCAATTTAAAACTTCTTTTTAAATGGACCAATGCTTAACTTTAGTTTGTAACACTCCCTTAGTATCTAATTAGATATTTCAGTCAAACTCAATTACCTTTTGATTGTTTTCTAATTCACAAACCTTTACTTTCAGGAAAGGGTTAATAATAACATAAATAGTTTCGATGTGCCACGTCTTAATATTTTTTCCTCTGAAACTTCACTGACACCACCCCCAAACCTATCTCTCTATAATCAGTGAGATGATCTTCTTCTCTAGCTGTAAAACAATAAATCTGTCATTCTTGAGGGTGGAAAATGTTCTCAATTCCCCCAACACAAATTCCAAAGAATATTAACCCAATTACTTGCTAGCATTTATTTCAGCATTTATAAAAACATTCAAACCACAATGTAGGTCTGAGGGGGAAAGATACCCTCTTCTTTTTTTTTTTTTCCTTATCTGCTCTTCTACACTCCAGAACTTGGCCACAGTTCAGAAATGTAAAAGAAAAGAAAGAATCTTTCTGAAAACTTATAGAGGTTCACATTAGTTAACAAGACACAGAGAGACAGATTTGCCAGCAGTTTTTCCTTCTAAGCTCCGTGTACACAATTATAGGCTCTGAGAGATACACAAACATAGGCACTGAAAAAGCACAAATTGACCGACAACTGTGAGACAGTAGCCCCAATATTAGAAGTTACTTCTTGCCCACCTTACTAGATGTCTCCAGAGGGGTCATGCTATTTATCTCACACACACACACACACACACACACACACACACACACACACACACACACACACCCCCCAAGAAATTATAACCCTTTTAAAACTGCACCTACCAGGACAGCTAGGTGGCTAAGTGGATAGAGCACTGGCCCTGGAGTCAGGAGGACCTGAGTTCAGATCCAGCCTCAGACATATAACACTTACTGGCAAGTCACTTAACTCCAATTGCCGCCCCCAAAAAAAATTTTTAAAAAAAGAATATTCATCTAAAAATAACTGTGCCTATCTTGTTTCTTACATATTCTGCTTACGTTTCCTTTATCAATCATATCCCAAATAATCTTCACTTCACTGACTTTTCCTCCTCTACCTTTCTCATTTCCTTCTGACGTGCATAGTCAGAAAGAAAAAGAGAGAAAGAGAAACTCTCTCTGTCCTTCATTCTATGATAAAGGGGGCAGTTGCCACTTCAAAGTCTCTCTTACCGGGGCTGAAAGTTCTCATCTTTGCCTAGGCTATAAATTTTCCATTAAGCAACACAAACAGCTGGCATCGTTCAGGATTTCCCCCGTCAGAAGCCTATCAGGACACAAACTAATGTGTGTATTTTTGGCATCCCTGTACTCATGTGGTTCAGGCCACCTCTCCCTCAGGGAGGAGGGTGACCAGGATTCCCCCTGCCGAAGCCTCACTCCGAAACCACCTTCTCTAGTATCCTGCTGACTACACTAAGTGTAAAGGGCAGACTGTCCCACCCACTAGACAAATGTAAGGGGGAAGATCTGTTCTTTCCTTATTATGCCAGTTGCAGGATGGCATACCCCCCAAGAGAATACTCAGATACCAAAGAAAGAGGGACTTATGCCAGCTTGGTTATTAATAGGTTTTATTAGGGTTAATTGGGGGAGTATACTCATAAGAAGCCAGTCATCCTGGGCAGCAACAGCACAACGTAATATCTTGGATCTCCACACCAACCCCAGGCCAGACCAGGTATTACATAGAAACAGAACAAAGAAGACATAGTGCCAGGGATGGCCCAGGATCACATGCAAGTGTTCCTGTGGGATAGTTGGAGCTTCTTTTGCTGTTTGCATTTACTCAAGGTAGTTTACATTCTTTGAGAGTCATAAGTCACATTCCCATTCTGTCCTATCCCTATTCTCTCTCTCTCCCTTCCTCCCTCCCTCTTTCTCTCTTTTCACACACACACACACACACACACACACACACACGCATAATATATGTAGATATGCCAGAGGCAGTGTGGTGTAGTAGATAGAGAACATTTTTTTAAATAGTGTTTTTCTAATTATATATAAAGACAATTTTTAAGATTCATTTAAAAAAAACTTTGAGTTCCAAAATTTTTCTCCTTCCCACTCCTTAAAACAATAACCAATTTAATGTAGATTATATATGTGCAATCATGTAAAACATATTTCCATATTAGTCATGTTGTTTAAGAAGACACAGACCAAAAGGAAAAACATGCACACACACACAAAAGAAAAAAGAAAGTGAAAATAGTATGCTTTGATCTGCATTCAGACTCAATCAGTTCTTTCTTTGGAGGTGGATAACATTTTCCATCATGAGTCCTTTGGGATTGTCTTCTATCATTGTATTGCTGAGAAGAGTGAAGTCATTCAAAGTTCATCATTGCACAATGTTGCTGTTATTATGTATAGTGTTCTCCTGGTTCTAATCATTTCACTTTGTATCAGTTCATGTAAGTCTTTTCAGGTTTTTCTGAAATTCACCTTGCTTCTTATAGCACTATAGTATTTCATTACATTCATATATCACAACTCATTCAACTATTCCCCAATTGATGGACATCCTTTCAATTTCTAATTCTTTGCCACCACAAAAAGAGCTGCTATAAATATCTTTGTACGTTTTTTCCTTTTATGATCTCTTTGGGATACTGACCAGCAGTGGTATTACTGGATCAAAAGGTACCCACAGTTTTCTAGCCCTTTGGGCATAGTTCCAAATTACTCTTTAGAATGGTTGGATCAGTTCACAACTCCACCAATAATATGTTAGTGTTCCAATTTTCCCACAACCTCTCCAACATTTATCACTTTCCTTTTCTGTCATGTTAGACAATCTGATAGGTGTGAGATGGTACCTCATAGTTGTTTTAACTTGCATTTCTCTAATAGTGATTTAGAACATTTTCATATTACTATAAATAGCTTTGATTTCATCTGAAAACTGCCTGTTCATATCTCTTGCCCATGTATCAATTGAAGAATGACTTGTATTCTTATAAATTTAACTCAGTTCTTTATATATTTGAGAAATGATGGCCCTATTACTCTTGAGGGCACCACCATCCTCCCAGTCACTCAGGCTCAAAACCTAGATTCATCCTCAATTCCTCACTTACCAACCCCCCCCCCATATCCAATCAGTGGGCAAGCTTTGTCCCTTCCATATTCATTTTCTTTCTTGTATATGTTCCCTTCTCTCCTCTGACACTGCCACTTCCCAGATGCTTCTTATTCCTTCCAGACTCAAATATAAAATCCTCTGCTTGGCTTTTAAAGCCCTTCATAACCTGGCTCATTCCTACTTTTCCAGTCTTCTTACTCTTTACACCCTACCCCCTGCCTCAGCAATCCTTGTATCCTATGACACTGATATCCTTGCTCTAACCTCACACAAAACATCCCCACTGGGAATGTTTTCACTGGTTATTCCCATGCCTGGAACTGCTCTATTCCTTCTCATCTCTACCTCCTATTATCCCTGGCTTCCTTCAAGTCTCAACTAAAATCTCATCTTCTTCAAGAGCCCCTCCCAGTCATCCTTAATCTGAGTGCCTTCTCTCTGAAATTGCATGTCTTTTTTGTACAATCATTGTTTGCCTATCGCCTTCCATTAGACTATGAACTCCTTGAGAGTGAGGACTATATGTATTTTTACTTTTCTTTGTATTCCTAAGCTTCGCAGACGTGCGTAGCATATAGTAGGTACTAACTAAATGCTAGTTGCCTGAAGTGACCCTAGAAAAGTCATCTAACCTCATCCTAGGCAATGTCCTGAGATACAAGTTTCAGAGTAGATATCAATCTGCAGCAATGGGCAGCTAAGTGGCACAGTGGATAGAGCACTGGGCCTGGAGTCAGGAAGGCTCTTCTTCCTGAGTTCAAATCTGGCCTCAGAAAGCTACTGGTTGTGTGACCCTGGGCAAGTCTTCTAATCCTGTTTGCCTCAGTTTCTTCATCTCTAAAATGAACTGGAGAGGGAAATGGTAAACTATTCCAGTATCTTTGCCAAGAAAACCTCAAATAGGGTCATGAAGAGTAGGATACAACTACAACAACTGAACAATGAACAACAATCTGAATTGTTGAAGAGAATTTACCTATTGGGAGCTCCCTATACCAATGAAATCACAGGTCCAATGTAAAAAATATGAAGAGACTATGAGGTAGTGGAGAGAATGCCAGCCTCAGAATCAGCAAAGACAAGGGTTCAAGTTTGGCTTCTGATATGTGCTGACTGTATTACTGTGGGCAAGTTCTCTCCACTTCTCAGAGCCCCCAGAAACTCCCTAAGGCTATAAATTGGAGAGCAATTGCTTATCTGCTTTGGTGTAAGAAGTCTCCTGACTGGGAGTCCCCTGTGCCAATCAAGCATAGGTCTGGGCCCCTCTCTCCCAAAATTGCATATTCATAATGTGTTCAACTCTGCTGCTGTGACTCCCTCTTTTCCCCTTTATTTCTCTTTCTCTCTCTATTTGTCCCTTTCCCCAATTACTCATTCCTTTCAACCTATATTCAATACTAAATCATCTAGTCCATTCCTATTAAAATCAGTCAATTAGTTAATTCAGTGAAAAATTCAATCAAACCAGTAGTTTAGTGTTGTATAAATAAAGTGTTGATTGATTTTTTTTCTTTACAGCTGATTATTTTGACGTTGTGTAAACAAAGTCTCTGCAATCTCCCCACCTCAAATCTGCGTAGTTTTTTTGGTGGCTATTCATCTTAATTCAAAATCACATTTATTAAAGTCCTATCGCATGAAAAACCCTGTGTTCAATACTGGGGGGAGATACCAAGATAAATAGGGCAGGGTCCCACCTTTGTGGGCCATTTAATTCGTTGGAAATAGGGGGAATGAGGTATATATACAAGTATCTGTAGTACAAAATAGGACAAAATCAATAGGGAAGAAAAATCATTTCTGACTATAGGTCAGGGATTTTCTCACTGGCCTCTCCAGGCTGTACTTGGGACTTCCTCCCCCATTCCCCCCCACTCTGGCCCTGGAATTCCCACATTGGAAACACCCCTACCCCAGCTTCTCTCTCTTATTGGATGTCTTCTCACAGAACTTCCATTTGAGGACGGCACTCAAACCATCAACGTCTGGCTGCATGTCAGGCTTTCTACCATGCCCTTTCACTGGGTCCCTTGTCTCCTCCCACCCCCTTTTCAGCTTACCTTTGTGTGTTCTCTTTCCCTGTTAGAATACAAGTTCCTTTGAGGTCTCTCTTTCTGCTTGTATTTATATTCCCATCTCTTAGCATGGTACCTGGCACTGTGAATGCTACAACAATGCCAGCGATGTTTGCTGACTGAGAAGAATTCAAGGAAGACTGCATGGAGGAGATGGCATTTCAGTTGGATCTTATAGGACAGATTGAATTTCAGCAGATAGGAGAGCATATCCTAAGGACAAGCAGTGCCATAAGCCACGGCAAAGATGCAGGAAAGCGTGACAGTAATGGGAAGGGTAGAGGGTGGTGAGTCCTAAAATTTGGCAGGAACAGGATGATGAGATAGTGCTACAAGGATTAAGAAGGTACAAAAGGAGAGGGTTAATGGTTAAGAGGGGGTTGAGGAAGGCTTGAATGCCAGGCTAAGTGACTTAGACTTTTCTGGTCGAATATGGAAAGGAATCAAAAGATTCTGAGCAGAGGAATGATATAATTCAGCATGCTGATAAAGATTGATCCTGCTTTTGTGTTGTGGAAGACAGAGGAAGAAGAGATTGGAGGCAAGGAGACTGGTAAGGATGTTACTGCACCAGTTCAGATGGTGGTGACAGCCTATACTGGAATGATGCCACAGGAACCAACATAGATCAGAGGATCATCTCTTTGTACCTAAAAGAGATCACCTAGAATGACCCTCTCGTTTTACAGATGAGGAAAGTGAGGCCTAAAGAAGTTGAAGGATGTGACCAAGGTTACGTGCTAGCCAAAATTTGAACCTAGAATTTGGTCTAATTCTAAATCCCATGCTCTTCCCACTACCCTCTCCCACACTGTTGCCAGACTCACCCTCAAGTCAACCAGTGCTTGTTGGACAGCCACATGGCACCCTGAATGAATCCCAGTTCAGATATGTACTATCTGTGTGACCCTGGACAAGTCACTTAACCTACCTGCCTTAGTTTCCCCACCTATAAAGTAAGGATAATAATGACACTTACCTCCCAGTGCTGTTGTAAGAATAAAAATGAGGTGATATTTGTAAAGTACCTTGCAAACCTTAAAAGTGCTGTATCAATGTTAATTATTATTATTATTTAATACATGCTGT